GAGGGAGGTGGGAGGGGGGATCGGGATGGGGAATACATGTAAATCCATGGCTGATTCATGTCAATGTATGGCAAAAACCACTACAATATTGTAAAGTAATTAGCCTCCAACTAATAAAAATAATTGGGAAAAAAAAAGTCCTTGTCAGAAGCAAACACAGGAGGGAACCAAAGAAAGCTTCTTTCCTAGTTTTCCCTTGGATGAGAGGAACACTATTGAAAACCATAGAGGAAAAAAAAGAGAAAATATAGTTTCCATACTCAAGAATTTAGAATCCAGAAAACTAACAACAGCAACAAAAAGAACCCATATAGACATGCAGGGTCTCTTCTGTTCTATATTTTATCTGAAGATAATGCCCAGAGAACATCCTTTTCAAAGGAGATGGTCCTCCCTTCTATTCCTTCCTGCTCAATGTCCTTCCAGTGGAGATGCCAAGTATCCTGAATCTATCCACCCTTCTCGATCTCCACTGCCATCCCCTCATCTGAGCCATCATCATCTTTCTCCTGGTCAACTGCCACTGTCTCCTGACTGATCCCCCACTTAAACTCTGGCTCCCCTACAAGCCACACTGCACACTGCAGTCAGATCACCTACGGCTATTCGGGGGTGTGGTAAATGACTCCCATTTCACTTTCACCTTCTCCTTTGGAAACTACAGAAATCAAAAAACAGTTGCAAAATAGCCCAAAGAATCCTCACATATCTTTTACCCAGATTCTCCAAATGTTAACATCTGCCATAATCACAGAATAATACTATTAATATAAATCAAGAAATTAACATTCATACAACACAATTATCTAATCGATAGACTGTATTCAGTTTCCTCCAATTGCCCCAATAATGTCCTTTTTCTGGTCTAGGATCACCCCTGTCCCTTTCAGCTCCTTTAATTTGGCATAGTTCCCCAGTCTTTTTGTTTGTTTGTTTTTTGGTCTTTCATTACCATGACACTTTTGAAAAATACTGGCTGTTTCAATTTTGGGTTTCTCTGATGGTTCATCGTGACCCAATTTAGACCATTTGTTTTGGCAGGAATACTATAGATGTGACACTGTGTCCTTTTCAGTGCATCCTATCAAGAGGCACATGATATCAGTTTGTTCCATAACTATTAATCTTAATTGATCATTTGGTTAAGGTGGTGTCTGCCGGGTTTCTCCACAGTGAAGTTACTAGCTTGGCCTTTATAATGAATAAGCATTTGGTGGGGAGTACCTAAAAAACTACCAGGAGAACTGCCATATGGCCCAGGAATTCACTTCTGAGTATTTATATGATGAAAACAAAACACTAATTTGAAAAGATATATATACCCCAATTTTCACTGCAGCAGTATTAATACAATAGCCAAGATATGGAAGCAAGCTAAAGAGTCCATTGATACATGAATGGCTAAAGAAGATGTGGTATACACACACACACACACACACGATGGAATATTACTCAACTATAAAAGTTCTACCATTTGCAGCAATGTGAATGAGCCTGGAGAATATTATGCTAAGTGAAATAAGTCAGACAGAAAAAGACAAATACTGTAAGCTCTCACTCATACGTAGAATCTTAAAAAACAAACAAAATGAAAACAGACTCAAAGATACAGAAAACAAAAGGGTAGCTACCAGAAGGGAGGAGGGTGGTGGAAGCAAAATAGATGAAGGGAATAAAGAGGTGCAAACCTCCAGTTATTAAATAAATAAGTCACATGAATGTAATATACAGTATAAGGAATATGGTTCATAATACATAATAACTGTATGGGAACAGATGGTTACTAGACTTAACCATGGCGATCATTCCATAAGTCATACAAGTATCAAATCACTATATAGTACAACTGAAACTAACATAATATTTCATGTCAGCTATATTTCAATTTGAAAAAAAAAATCCAATCTAATGAGTAATCTAGAGTCATCTGAAACTGGGAATACTGACACATGCTAATAAAGCTTAGAAGAGATTGAAGTTTATAAATTAGAACATCAATGTATTCATTTAACTGTAAAATGGGCATTCTCTCCTTCACAGACTCATCTACTAAGACAGTTTTCTTGTGAGCCTAGAACAGGGATCCATAAACTTGTTCTTTTTTAAAGGGCCAGATGGTAAATTTTTTTATTTTGTGGGTCATATACTTACATCTGTCACAACTACTCAACTCCAGCATGGTGAGGCACAAGCAGTGATAGACAATATGTAAAGTGTTGCAGTAAGACTTTATTTACAAAAATAGCTGTCAGGGTCTATGGATCCCTGGCCTAGAATAAAAGGAGTAGGAGTTACATGATTCAAATGCTTGATCACATCCGGCTTCAGTATCCTGATGTGTCCATTGCTGGAGGAGATAAACCTGTATCCACTATCAGATTAGGCATGGTGCTTAGCTGAATACAGTCAACATTGGCCTTACTAAGCCTTCTTTTTTAATGCCAGCAATCCTACAGAAAGTGAAAGTAAAGTCGCTCAGTCGTGTCTGACTCTTTGCGACCCCATGGACTGCAGCCCCGCAGGCTCCTAGGTCCATGGGATTTTCCAGGCATGAATACTGGAGTGGGTGGCTATTTCCTTCTCCAATCCTACATAATCCCACCCCATTTTAAAGCCCCAGGTATAAGAAAGCTCTACTTACCAGTAGGGAAATGCCAGGAGCCTCAGTTTACATTCTACAGCCATTTCACAGAGAAAGACTTGACGCTTTGTTAGCTTCTGGGGAGAAGAGCACTCTCCATTCTTACTTGTGTTTCCCTAGGAAAAAAATGACAGATTTGGCAATATTAATACTTAAAGGGGCACTAGCAGGTAAGCACCATGAAGAGAGATTATGTTTTAAATTAGAAAGAATCTTTTATTTTTACAAAAGCAGTGTATATTTGTTCATTGTGGAAAGTTAGAAAATAAAAAGATTAGAAACAAGAACAGACTTGTGGGTACAATGGGGGAAGGAGAAGGTGGGATGAATTGAGAGAGGAGCATTGAAACATATATATTACCATATGTAAAACAGATAGCCAGTGGGTATTTGCTGTATGATGCAAGAAGCTCAAACTGGTGCTGAGTGGGTGGGATGGGAAGTTCAGGAGGGTGGGGACATATGTATACCTGTGGCTGATTCATATTGCTATATGGCAGAAACCAATACAATATTGTAAACAATTATCTTCCAATTAAAACAAATAAATTTAAAATAAAAATAACAAACTTTCTATCACCCAGAAATTGTCACTATTAACAGCTAAGTATATATCCTCTCAGATCTTTTTCTAAGTATATATAATATATATATGTATTTTCTACCAAAATGACATAATGCATGTACATAATGCTTTGTAACTCTATAACTGCTTTTTCTCAATTATCAACCTTTACCATTCCATGTTAAGAAGCTTCCACTGCAGTGAACCTAAGATCCCACATGCCATGAAGCGTAGTCAAAACACTTAAAAAAAAAAAGTTTTCATCTCATCTAAGACCCATCCATACTTATATTTGCCTACTTTCCCCCAAAATTCCGTATAAAGCTAGTCTGTTTAAATTAAAGATCCAATCTTAGATCACACATTGCAACCTAAATCTCCTTTCATTTAGAATAGTATCCTTCTTCAGGACAAGAATATTGTTTCCTGCTGTATCCTCAACACCTCTTAACAGTTCTTAGAATACAGTAGTATCTCAAATATTTGCATAACTAAATCATTTATAAAAATTTAGGGGATGGGGGGTTTTTCACCCTAGAGCTTATCTCATCCACCCATCACCCTTTATCTCTATTTTATAGATAATAAAAATCAAGGCCAGAGAAGTAAAGTGACTTCCCAAGGTCAGCCAACAAGTACATGTCAACTACTTTCTATGTCTGTTTATTCTACTAAACCAGGAGTTGGCAAACTTTTTCTGTGAAGGTCGGATAGTAAATATTTTAGGCTATATGGGCCAAGAAGCAAAATCGAGAATATTATGTAGGTACTTATATAACAACAGAAAAAAACAAATTTCCATAGTTTTTCAGTGATGAAACCCAAAATATAATAATAATTGATTACATGGTTTTGTAATATGGTCTACTAATGAAAAAAATGGAATTGACGAACTACACTTTGTTTCATTATGGTTGAGCTTGGGGTTAACAGATACACACTACTATACATCAAATAGATAAACAACAAGGACTTATTGTACAACGCAGGGAACTATATCCAATATCTTGTATGTATTCAATACCTACAAAGAAAAGAATCTGAAAACATATGTATATAACTGGATCACTTTGTTGTATACCTGAAACTAACACAATATTGTAAATCAACTATATTTCAATTAAAAAAAATAATACTTTCCTCCATCCTCTCCCCAGCCTAGGTTAGGTTTCTTCTGCTCACCACAGCACCCCGTGCTCAAGTACTTCAGAGCACCTTAACACACTGTAACTGTAATTATCTGTTTCTCTACCTGTCTCCCTGAAGGAGCTATATATTAGCTCCTTGCAAAGAGTGACCATATATTATTCATTTCAGCTTCTACATTAAAATATTAAAACAGGTATTCATTAGAGTGAAGTGAAACTAGCTAAACCAACTACCAGTCTAGTCTAATTAACATCACAATGAGATACTGACAACAAGACAAAACAAGTGTTGGTGAGGATGTGGAGAAATTGGAACCTTCATACATTTAGCAATGGGAATATTAAATGGCAGCCACTTTAGAAAAGTCTAGAAATTCCTAAAGAAGTTAAACATGCAGTTATCTTATGATCCACACATACCACTCCTAGACCAGGGAACAAGTGAACATGGTCCTTGCCCTCTCTAGAGGAGAGACAGAAAATGAACCCAAGCTTACTTGGCAGTGTCTTAAGTGTTATAACAAGGGTCTGCTAAGGGTGATATGGCAGCACCAGAGAAGAGCAGTGAAATTAAGAGAACTGAAAACATATGTCGTCACAGGCGTTCACAACAGGGTTATTCATGATAACCAAAAAGTGGAAATAAGTGTCCTTCAGCCAATAGATGGGTAACAAATGTGGCATATCCATACCATGGAATACTATTCAGCCATAAAAAGCAATGAGGTACTGATATATGTTACAACATGGATGAACCTGAAAAACGTTAAGTAAAAGAAGTCATTCACAAAAGACTACATATTGTATGATTCCATGCACATGAACTGTTCAGAAAAAGCAACTACAGAGACAGAAGACAGTTTACATGGTTGCTCAGGACTAGAGGTGGGAGGAGAGATCAACTACAAATAGTCTTTTGTGAATTTAGGGGGTGGGGTGGGGTGATAAAAATGCTCTAAAACTGGACTGTGGTGACAATTACTAAAGTTTACTAAAAACAAATGTACACTCAAAATGAGTGAATTTAATGGTACGCAAAATATAAGGCTCTTATACCATTAATCTATTACATTATTTCGTTTTTATCTAATTTAACTTTTGTCCTCCATGGCAAGACCTGGTAAGAATTGTGGTGAATGAAATTTCGGATGCATTTTTGTCAATTGGGGCTTCGGGTTGTGCTGACAGAAACAGCAAAGTCAGCATCTCTGAATACTGCAGGATGAAGTGTAGAATCCATTTCCAATTGGGTGATCCCAGTGTGTACTCTGGATAATCAGTGGCCTGCCAGTTTAAGTGTGAGTGTGCCTAGACCCCTACTCCAAGCAATAAACCTTAGTCAGGTAACAAGTTCATTTCTTGCAACTCTCAAGCCCTATTCATAAACGGTGAATTGTTCTATTCTAGCATATCTGTGAAAATGTTAATGATTTTTGTTTGTTTGGGGGTTTTCTAGCAATTTGGTTAATGCTTACTGGGCTAGGAAGTCCTGCCAGAACAGCTGAAAGATACAAACTCCAATCGCTTCTCGGCCTTTTGGCTAAGATCAAGTGTAGTATACAAACTCCACCCCCCCAGACCCCCGCCCGGGATACTCCAGAGGAGAGCACATCCCTCCAAGGGCAAGAGGATGGAAGGGCACCTCTCCGATCTAAGGGAAAGGTTGGGACCAAGTCCCTCCTTTGCGTTACGGAATGGCAAAAACTGCCACAAAGTCAGGATGAGGTGTCTCCTCCCAGGGCCTCCTGGTACCCAGGAAACTCACGCTGCTGCTCCTCAGGGTCGCCAGGAGGTTACAGCGCCCCGACTTCAGTCATTTTCACCGCTGCAGTTCCACCGTGTGGCCCGTGCACAGCGAAAGGAGAAGGTGATGGTAGAAGAAAAGCAGCCTGAGTAGGCTCGCAGCCCTCCCGTGCTCCAAGCCACGGTCCCCCACGCCCCAACGCGCGGCTCCCCGACCGCTTGGCCGCCGCCCCTCCCAGCACGTGCGATTGGGTCCTAGCGCCCCCTGGTAGCCGGAAACCAGAAAAACCGGCGCGGCGGGCACCAGATGGTCGGAGCATGCGCGGGAGGGGTTGGGGTGGCTTCCGGTCTGCAGAGCAGCCAAATCCCAGGCGGGGTCCTCTGCAACGAGAGGGGTCACCCGACCCCATGGTGAAGCCGCGATGTTGAAGGGAGCTGATGCTACTGCCGTTGCTTACTTAGTTGCTCAGTCGTGTTCAGCTCTTTGCGACCCCATGGACTGTAGCCTGCCAAGCTCCACTGTTTATGGGAAATCCCCCCGTGGCAAGAATACTGGAGTGGGTTGCCATGCCCTCCTCCAGGGGATCTTCCCAACCCAGGGATCAAACCCAGGTCTGCCGCATTGCAGGCGGATTCTCTACCATCTGGGCCACCAGGAATCCCAAGGGGAGGTGACCCAGATCCAAAGTGGAGCAGATGGAGGCTGCCTCCATCACTTCCTCAGTAATTCCCGAAGGGAAAAGGGCCCCCAAAGAGGACAGAATGGCCAAATAATCTTGAACCTGGATCCCTTCAGGAAAAAAAAAAAAAACGAATCTAATAAGGCAGATTTGTTGAAGCTGTGTTTTCTTGAAGGTCTGAAAAAATGAATTAGTGCCAACTTCACAAGGTGTTTGTGAGAATTAAATAAAATAATCCACCTAAAGGGCTTAGCAAACTGTTAAAGCTAGCTATTTGATTAGTATCTCAGGGCTTAGCAAACACCTAATAAGAAGAGTAGGTGTCATCTTTCCTCGGTATTCAGGGGAACAAAAGGGTCTTGACACTACAAAATAAATGCATACCTAAGGTGAATTATTCATAAAATGTTTTGTGTATGAGAATTAAAACAGTCCATCCCCACACCCAGCCTGGACACTAAGAAACTAAACCACACAGTATTAGCTACATAAATGTGACTTTGCTGTCTTCACTGTCTTCACTGATATTACTTTCCAGGAAGTTCCTCTCATCAGGAAGCTTCCACAAACCTCCTAACCTTATACACCAGAGGGCAGACAGAATGAAAACCACAGTCACAGAAAACTAACCAAACTGATCACATGGATCACAGCCTTGTCTAATGCAGTGAAACTACGAGCCATGCCGTTCAGGGTCAACCAAGTTGGATGGATCACAGGTGGAGAGTTCTGACAAAATGTGGTCCTCTGGAGAAGGGAATGGCAAACCACTTCAGTACTCTTGCCTTGAGAACCCCATGAACAGTATGAAAAGGCAAAAAGATATGACACTGAAAGATGAACTCCCCAGGTCGGCAGGTGCCCAATATGTTACTGGAGAAAAGTGAAGAAATAGCTCCAGAAAGAATGAAGAGGCTGAGGCAAAAGGAAAACAACGCAAAGCTGTGGATGTGACTAGTGATCGAAGTAAAGTCCAGTGCTGTAAAGAACAATATTGCATAGGAACCTGGAATGTTGGGTCCATGAATCAAAGTAAATTGCTAGTGGTCAAACAGGAGATGGCAAGAGTGACCTTGACATTTTAGGAATTAGTAAACTAAAATGGACTGGAATGGGCGAATTTAATTCAGATGACCATTATATCTACTACTGTAGGCAAGAATCCCTTAGAAGAAATGGAATAGCCATCATAGTCAACAAGAGAGTCCAAAAGGCAGTACTTGGATGCAGTCTCAAAAACGACAGAATGATCTCTGTTTGGTTCCAAGGCAAGCCATTCAATATCACAGTAATCCAAGTCTATGCTCCAACACCTAATGCCCAAGAAGCTGAATTGCATAGTTATGCAATGACCTACAAGACCTTCTAGAACTAACATCAAAAAAAAAAAAAAAGATATCCTTTTCATCATAGGGGACTGGAATGCAAAAGCAGGAAGTCAAGAAATACCTGGAGTAAGAAGCAAATTTGGCCTTGGAATACAAAATGAAGCAAGGCAAAGGCTAACAGTTTTGCAAAAATAACGCACTGGTCATAGCAAATACCCTCTTCCAACAACACAAGAAATGACTCTACACATGGACGTCACCAGATGGTCAATGCTGAAATCAGATTGATTATATTCTTTGCAGCTGAAGATGGAGAAGCTGTATATAATCAGCAAAAACCAGACGGGGAGCTGACTGTGGCTCAGATCATGAACTCCTTATTGCAAAATTCAGACTTAAATTGAAGAAAGTAGGGAAAAACACTAGACCATTCAGGTATGAGCTAAATCAAATCCCTTATGATTATACAGTGGAAGTGACAAGTAGATTCAAGGAATTAGATGATAACATGCCTAAAGAACTATGGACAGAGGTTTGTAACATTGTACTGGAGCCTGTGATCAAAATGATTCCCAAGAAAAAGAAATGCAAAAAGCAAAATGGTTGTCTGAGGAGGCCTTACAAATAGCTGAGGAAAGAAGAGAAGCAAAAGACAAAGGAGAAAAGGAAAGATATATCCATTTGAATGTAGTGTTCCAAAGAATAGCAAGAAGAAATAAGAAAGCCTTCCTCAATGATCAATGCAAAGAAATAGAGGAAAACAATAGAAGGGGAAAGACTAGAGATCTCTTCAAGAAAATTACAGATACCAAGGGAACATTTCATGCAAAAATGGGCACAATAAAAGACAGAAACGGTATGGACTTAACAGAAGCAGAAGATACTAAGAAGAGGTGGTAGGAATACACAGAACTGTACAAAAAAGATCTTAATGACAGATAACCACGATGGTGTGATCACTCACCTAGAACCCACCATTCCTGAGTGCAAAGTCAAGTGGGCCTTAGGAAGCATCACTATGAACAAAGCTAGTGGAGGTGATGGAATTCCAGCTGAGCTATTTCAAATCCTAGATGATGATGCTGTGAAAGTGCTGCACTCAATATGCCAGCAAATTTGGAAAACTCAGCAGTGGCCACAGACTAGAAAAGGTCCATTTTCATTCCAATCCCAAAAAAAGGCAATGCCAAAGAATGCTCAAACTACCTCACAATTGCACTCATCTCACACGCTAGCAAAGTAATGCTCAAAATTTTCCAAGCTGGGCTTCAACAGTACGTGAACTGAGAACTTCCAGATGTTCAAGCTGGATTTAGAAAAGGCAGAGGAACCAGAGATCAAATTGCCAATATCCATTGAATCATCGAAAAACCTAGAGAATTCCAGAAAGACATCTACTACTGCTTCATTGACTATGCCAAAATCTTTGACTGTGTGAATCACAACAAACTGTGGAAAATTCTTCAAGAAATGGGAATACCAGACCTCCTCACCTACCTCCTGAGAAATCTGTATGCACGTCAATAAGCAACAGTTAGAAATGAACATGGAACAATGGACTGGTTCCAAATTGGGAAAAAAAATACCTTAAGGCTGTATATTGTCACCCTGTTTATTTAACTTATATGCAGAGTATATCATGCAACATGCCAGGCTGGATGAAGCACAAGCTGGAATCACGATTGCCGGGAGAACTATCAATAACCTCAGATATGCAGATGACATTACCCTTATGTCAGACAGTGAAGAGGAACTAAAGAGCCTCTTGATAAAAGTGAAAGAGGAGAATGGAAAAGCTGGCTTAAAACTCCACATTCAAAAATGGAGATCATGACATCTGGTCCCATCACTTCATGGCAAATAGATGGGGAAACAATGGAAACAGTGAGAGACTTTATTTGGGTGGGTGAGGCTCAAAAATCACTGCAGATGGTGACTGTAGCCATGAAATTAAAAGATGTTTGCTCCTTGGAAGGAAAGCTATGACCAACCTAGGCAGCATATTAAAAAGCATAGACATTACTTTCCTGACAAAGGTCAAAGTCAAAGCTATGGTTTTTCCAGTAGTCATGGATGGGTGTGAGAGTTGGACCATAAAGAAAGCTGAACGCCAAAGAATTGATGCTTTTGAACTGTGGCATTGGAGAGGATTCTTGAGAGTCCCTTGGCCTGCAAGGAGGTCAAACCAGTCAATCCTAAAGGAAATCTGTCCTGAATATTCATTGGAAGGACTGATGTTGAAGCTGAAGCTCCAATACTTTGGCCACGTGATGCAAAGAACTGACTCATTGGAAAAGACCCTGATGCTGGGAAAGAATGAGGGCAGGAGAAGGGGATGACAGAGGATGAGATGGTTGAATGGCATCACTGACCCGATGGACATGAGTTTGAGCAAGCTTCTGGAGTTGGTGATGGACAAGGATGGGGTCGCAAAGAGTTGGACATGACTGAGAGACTAAATTGACTGACTGACTTTTCCAGGACTCCTCTGTACAGGCAAATGGTTTCTTCACTACAGCATCCTCCCCAAAGATCCATAAACTTTTCTGTGGAAGGCATCAACAGTTTGCACTCTGAAATTCTTTAAGTCCCCCTCCTCAAAATCCTCCCCTTGCAGCTTCCACCAATCCCAGACTTTTGGCATCATGATCTCTGCTGTGCGTGCTAAGTTGCTTCTGTCATGCCTGACTCTTTGCGACCCTATGGACTTTAGCCTGCCATGCTCCTCTGCCCACAGGATTCTCCAGGCAAGAATACTGGAGTGGGTTGCCATGCCCTCCTGCAGGGGATCTTCCCAACCCAGGGATCAAACTCGCTTCTCTTATGTCTCTTGCATTGGCAGGCAGGTTCTTTACCACTAGCGCTACCTGGGAAGTCCATCAAGGTCCCTACTCCAGTCCTAATCAAGTCCCAGATTAAAAGACCCTCAACCGTAAACCATGCTTTCATTTCACAATCCACTGGAACTTCCTTCCTCCCTAAAACACTAGCAAAGCTTTGTGAGGTGGGGGTTCTCGCTTACAGAGGTAAGTGATAAATTCAACTTGGTCATATCAACATGTGTGTTGGAGATATTTGGAGAGTCGGCACTTGATGGTTTTGAAGTCCCCACTGACATCCAATGCAGCTGAGACCTCGCACAACAGCTCAAGACCTTCAACTGGGAAACAGTGTGCTCCTTTGTCCTCTTGG